GTATATTAGCTCACATATCATGAAAAATCGCAATCAATGACAGGCTGAATTTTCAATATATTGTTACGCCTCCAGTCGTTACTTAATTTTCCGTAAATTCGTTCCGACGAAACTTTAGCGACACAAGTCCTTTCTTAAATAAAACTGGTTTATTCTTTCCGAATACAACTTTACCGATACACTTAATTTCAACAGTCGCTCTATAACAAACGCTAGAACGTCTCACGCGCTCGTGCTCGACAATACTCAGTTCGATTACACAATACCTCTCCGTCGTTTCGTAGCAGGTCTTATATATACAAGACTACACTATATGTAGAAAGATCACGAGATTTAAGGAAAAGACGTGAAAATTTGAGAATGACGTGGTGTGATACTAGTCACGTGACCTCGATGTCGTAACAGTATATTCATGTAAAGTATACATAAATATCTCACTGTGGGAAAGACAGACATTTAGATATACTGAGATTTTTTATTTATTTACCAGAAAGTAAATTTACTTGCATAAAATATAAGCATTTGTTTTTTATTTTCTGTGATTAAAAGTCATTTGCAGAAAAAATCTGGGACAGTAGCTTGCTTATAAACTAACACATTAACATCCAGATAAGAATTAGATAAGGGATTTGCAGCTTTGAATTATAAATTGTATTAATTTATTGAACATGTATTTTTATCCTGTTATTTGAACATGATAAAACTAACATGCAGTAACATTCTTTGTCTTGTGTCAAAGCATGGTAAAATATTTATTGTCTAGAATTATTTTTATGTTTTGATAATTTCTGGTATAAGAAATCATATAAGAATTGCTTTGCAGATGAATATTATACCAGATTTAGCTTGTATATATGCATATTAATCTTATATATGGGTGAACATTTTCATCTTGGTGGATAGAATTGGACTGTTTTTGGTGCATGTTATGACAGAACTGTTTGATATGCAAATGTAAGTTTAATAGTAGTGTTACTGTTGAAACTTTATATTAAGTGCATATTTTGTAATGTGTAAACCATATACTTGTTTCTAAGTGTATAATAATTACATATTTGATTTACACTAAATTACCAAATGTATTGGGACAGCACATTCTTTAGCTAGTAATGGGTCCATATGTACTAAATTTGCATGCACATTATATTATCTACTGTTGTTTAGAGATTACAAAGATCTGAAGTACGTAAAGACACCCTGCTGGAATAAGAATGTAATGAAAAAGGGTGGAATGAATTTTTTTTCTGAAGGAACAATTATTGGATTCAGTGTTGATGGTATGAGTTTGTAAAACATTTCAACCTATATTTTCCAAATTCACTGTGGGATGATGTTCATAAACAATGAAAGACCACTGGATGTATTGATCTGAAATGTAAATTTGACTGCCCAAATTAAACATTTTTCAATCCATTTAAATGTTAAAATGTGTTGTAGAAATAAAACTGTGCATATTACATGATATTCGTCACTCAGTACTTTACTGAAAGTTCAGAAATGTAGGATATTATACTATCTTTGGTTAACCTCCTGATTTCTTTGACATGCTGCATCCATAATTATTTCATTACAAAACAAAGGCTTTAATGGTGCCTTGAACATCAAAATTAAGATGAAGAATAGTGAACAATATCTTATCAAGAGAGTTTAGCCCTGTTTATCATTTTTTGTGCTTCAGATCTCTGTATGACTGCAGTGTTGAGAATGTGTATATGAACATATTTTCTCAACTATTAGGAATGGTTTTGTAACATCATGATTTGAATTTTAGCTAGTATGATCTTTGTCCACCCATAATAATTAAATTAACAATTAATGCTTTTTATTTTGACACACTTAACAGCAGTGCATTGCTTATATTGATGTAATGCTGTAAGATAAAACTTGCCTTTCTTTTTTTAGAATAATGCTCTATGCCATACTGCACAATTTGATCAGTGGTGGTTTCAAAATTTCAAGATGACACCTCACCAAACACAAAATTGCTAGATCTCTTATGCATCTCCCTATGAGTTTTGCATGCAACTAACCTTGAGCTAACTCCTACCTAAAAATCACATTTAATTTGAACTGCCTTAGTACATGATGATAGCATCATGTGACAGTAGCCTTCCACCAATAGGATAGCAACACAACCTCCTTGCTCAATAACTCCTCCTAAGTGGGGAGGATGGGTGGAAAGGTGTGAGAAGGTGAGTATATATCAGAAATGCATTTTCAAGTAAGGAAAAATTTTAACTTCCTAAACAATATTTCAAACAAAATATTTAGAATCCTTCACTGAAATGGTGTTGAGATTTGAGCAAACATTAAGCCAGATGAGCTCCCTTCAGAAACTGCATGAAGGGAAAGCTCAGGAAGTGTGACACTTGATGGCAGGGGCTTCATAAGGGCACACCCATGGGAGACTACATCTCTTCTCAACCAGGATATACTCCTCACCCAGAAGGAAACAGAGGGAAAGGCAAAGCAGCCCCAAGTGTCACAGGGATGGACAGAATTTTATCATGATCAACCAAGCACCCTCACACAATTGGTCAGTGAGCCAAGAAGTGTAGCATGGTTAGGGCACAATTAGACCATATGGTATATGTCTCACTTTGACTCAATTGCACAGACAGAGACAGGGGTGATAAACCCTTCCCATTGCAGGAGGGGAGCACACTAGCTGTTTGAGGGGTGACTTACACTACACAGACAATGCTACCACCACCTTACTTCCCACCATATGTATATTGTGCTGTACACAATCATTGAGGAACTCTTCAAGATCCATCACCTCAGTGGTAAGGAACTGTTATGTGGTAAGGATTTCCTGTGCTCCACTTGAATAAAGGGGAGAAAATTCACATTTGGGAGACCCCAAAGAAGTGCCTGAACTCATATCAGATGCCTGCTGGACAGTTATTTTTCCCAATTTTTAAAACTGGCAAGTGCAAGCCAAGGAAGTGGGCAGTCACTTCCCTTGTGCTTGCCTTTTCCATGATAGTCCATGGAATGGTATGGTCTGGATAGGGTAATTGAGTTTTAATACCACAAGAATACCTCATGTAGTGTTGCAGAACACTCCATCTCATCAGTGGGAAGTGGTAGAGCTAGGGCAGATGGGTTAAGCACTTTCTATTACCCTTGCCAAATGTGTATTTTGGGAAATAAGTATACCCTCAGAGGCAACACCAGCAACCTGGTGGGATTCTATAAAAGGGAAAAGGGTGATGAAAAGAAAATATTCTTACTCTTACTCCTTCTCAAAGACAATATACAGTTTTATTAAAGAACAGTGACTGAAAGAACTCGAAATCACACAGGACCCAAAACAGCCAGATGATGAAGATAATGAGAGAAAAATGTGCAGATGCATCCCCATGCCAGCCTGAAGGGTTTCATCTAAAGGTCAGTGAAATTGAGATGAAAGAGAGTAATACAGTTGATGAATCTGATGTGACAAAATGTGAAAGAATGATCACCTCCCTGAGCAGCTGAAGTCTTAGGAGGAAAGGACCAGTCTTGATAGAAGAATAAGTAAGTATAGTGAAAGAGAGTGCAAGAAGCATCAACAAGATATACATTCAAATGATTGCAACCACTGGTGAGGAGAAGAAAAAACATGTCTTCAGAGAAAGAAGGTATAATGAACATGAAGCCAATGGCTGAAATGTAGCATGTGTGAGTGGATGTAAAACCACATCAAACTCCAAGTCAGGCATGGGAAGAAGATGAAGTGGTCAGTAAAGAAGGAAGGATCAGAACAAACTGGAGACAACAGAAGAAGAAAAAAAACCTAACAGTAAAGGAAAAACAAAGTATAGTTGATAGAGTTGATTTGGGTCTCCCAAATGTGAATTTTCTTCCCTTTCTTCAAGTGGAGCACAGGAAATCCTTACCACATAACAGTTCTTTGCCACTGAGATAATGAACCTTGGAGAGTTCCTCACTGATTATGTACAGCAATATATATATATATATATATGGTGGGAAGTAGGGCGGTGGTGAAGAGTATATCCTGGTTGAGAGGAGATGTAGTCTCCCACGGGTGTGCCCTTATGAAGCCCCTGCCATCAAGTGTCACACTTCCTGAGCTTTCCCTTTATGCACTTTCTGGAGGGAGCTCATCTAGGCTTAATGTTTGCTCAAATCTCAACACCATTTCAATGAAGGATTTTAAATATTTTGTTTCAAATATTGTTTAGGAAGTTAACATTTTCCTTACTTGAAAATGCATTTCTGATATATACTCACCTTCTCACACCTTTCCACCCATCCTCCCCACTTCCAATGCACTTTCTTCTTGCCTCTTCTTAAAATGAAGTTATTTCAAGCACAAGTGCTTAGGGGGGAGTTATTGAGCAAGGAGATTGTGTTGCTATCCTATTGGTGGAAGGCTACTGTCACATGATGATATCATCATGCACTAAGGCACTTCACATTAAAAACATGAATTTAAGTGGGATTTAACTCTGGGCTAGTGGGATGCAAGTCTCATAGGCAGATCCATGAAGAATCAAGCTATGCTGTGTGTGTGAGGAGGTGAGTATCTATTGAAAATACATTTTCAGATAAGGTATTTTAGCCTAAACCTCTTAATTGTATCAAAAATAGTAGCTCTGGAATGTTTAAAATACTGCTTTAGTAACAGAACTTGGAACTGCTTTATGAGAATAATTTCTATCTATCTCACCTGATTTGTAAGAATGACTAGTAGCAATTGTAAGCAAGAGAATACAGGATGTGATTGATTCCAAAAATGGGTCCAATTCCTGTTAAGATTTAAAATGAGGTTCCAAAGAAAATGCAAATACCCCCTTTTTAAATGTTACAATACCAATTATTTTATTGTAATTGTGTTCTTTTGTTTCACCATAATACAAATTTTATAATTGAATACTAGTTAATGTAATCAACATTGTGGAATATGCTTGTTTTGGACTACTGGTACTTGAATTATGCAAAGTGTTGTAAGTAATTATGTAGAAAGTTTTTTTTTTTCTCTGTTTACATAGGAGTTGGCTTAGCAGCTATTCACATGCAGAATGAACCAGCCCTCGCAAAGAAGCTTGGGGTGAACTCACTGCCATATCTCATAGGGGTAATTGATGGTAGACATATTCATTATAAGAATGACCTGCTAAGCTTTCGGAAAATCATTGAGTTTACTCGCAAACTGTTTCCCTACAAAACAGTAGTTAATGTGAAAGATAACTCCCTTGAGAAATTTTTAAATGGTTGGTCTGACAATAAGGTCAGGGCACTTTTCTTCAGTCAAGTGGAACCCCCTCGTCTTCGTTATCTTTTATTGGCTTATCAGTACAACACGCATGCTTCCTTTGGGTTTATCAAACTTGGAAGTCCAGGAATTGATGAGACTTGTAGACATTATGGAGTAAACAAGCAAATGGATTCTTTGTTGGTATTCAATGAGAATGTGACATCCCCTGTGGCAACTCTTAGCATGGGTGAACTTGCTCCTCAAACAATGCGGGATGTTCTGGAGGCTAACAAATTTCTTCTTCTCCCACGTTTATCTTCACAGCACCTTTTTGACCAACTCTGCCCTCCAGAGGCAGCAAAATCTAGGAAACAGCTATGCGTTATTCTCATCACTCAGAACACTCAAACCCATGACCCATATCGAGCTGTGATGAGAGATTTTATTCAGTACAGTACCTACCCAAGAGAAAAAGTCAGGTAAGGATTTTACAGAATATCGATTTATTCTTATTCAATTTTTTTTTTACTTCATTATTCACCTTTCCATAGAAATAGCTAGTGCCTCGGTACTTCTGCCAAAATGTTTTTGTGCCTGCATCAACCCATTCTAAGATCTCTCATCCCTACTTGCAGTAATGTGAACTGCTCTAGTTTATTATACAGTCTGTATTAGACTATACCCCTTCACCAATAGGAGTGTGACACATTCTCCTTGCACAATACTCCCCTTGAGCATTAGTGTAAGCCAAAAACTCATTCTTTTCTTTGGCAATGCATTGCTTAGATGTGTCATTTTCTTAGGCTTTCAATGAAATAAAAGATCTTTTGTGTTACATGCAACTTTTTGAGTTGAAAACAATTTCAGTTAAATCTTCTGATAAAAGTTATTGTTTTGCTTATATTTAATTTATTTCCTTACATAACCAAACCAGAAGATTTGGGAGAAATGTTCAAGAGACTATGATATGGCTTCCTTGCAATAATTATTACCCATTATCATTAACCCCTTTGGATTGGTTTTAGGCAGACAATGATAATCAATTTCAGTTTCATCAACAAAGACACAGAACAACAACAGAAAATGCATATAAAAAAGAAGGCAAAAAGAATGAAAGAAAATGGCAAAAATACTACTACTAATAATTTCAATTAATTCAGTTTTGTGTATTATATTGAACAAAAATTCTAATTTCACCTTTCTGATACCTCCTAAGGTACAGACCCTCCTCTGCAGCAGTAGTTTTATTTTACTTCAATGGCAACTGAGATACTTTGATGGTGAACACCATTATATATCAAATGGTTGATTCTATCATACATTCTTTGTCTCAGATCTAGGACTATGCCTTTACTTCTGTAGAGGCTGCTGTCTTGTCTTTGAAATATTTTGATCAGATTTTTCCACAGCCTGCTTTTCCTTCTGGTTCTTCTATCATTAACAAGAATCAGGTAACCACACTTTTGTCTGTAACTTTAATAGCTTAACTATGTGACTTTGTTTTTCCTCTTACTCCAGTTGTTTTTGCTGGTTCATGGGTGAGCTTACAGAAGCATACCTTAGAAGTAGTATTTTTTTCCCTTCTTCATTTATTTTAGCATTAATGCAGATTCTTTCCAATCTGAGCTTTGTGTTGACTCAGTTGCCATGTTCTCCTCACCTCAAGACTCCTTCTCTGTGCTATGTGGTTGGGATCTTATCTCTTTTCTAGAGCTCCCCTCCTCTGAATCTCTTCTTCCAGCATAGAGATCTTTTTCTCCTATTAAACTTCTGTATCCCTCTCAATCTGCTTGTATTCATCTTTCTAAGAAGACACCTACTGCAAAGAATCCGGCCCATATACATATATATACACCTGGAAAAAAGTTAA